CTGGCTGCCAGAGAGGGGACATTCAGAATTCAATATATATTCCTTCTTCTCAACCCCAAAACAATCCATCACTTGGCTCCAACTTACATCAGCAGTCTGGTAACACCATTCACTCCCATTAGACCTATAAAGTCATCCGATCAAGATCTTTTGTTTGTTCCTCAATATAGACCGAAAAAGCAGTCTGTGCTTTTTCAGTGGGGTCTTTCTACTGTGGAACAATATTCCTCTGAGAAAACAGGAAAATTACCTTTTACATATTTTTGGACACACCTGGAGATTCATCTCTTGTGAGCTTTTTGTTTGACTCACGTTTGATTCTGCTTTGCATCATATTTGCATTAATTTCAATCTCAAGCACTTTGAAAGGTTATGCTTTCGAGAAACGCACCACAGACGAAGGTAGGTCTGTTCTGTAGGTTAATCATCCATTTTGAGGTAATACATGCGCCCTCCAGTCTCACACCTTTCCACTGCTCTCTCATCACCCCAGTGTGAGACATTCCCCATGCCGGCCCAGAAATGGACCAGAGTTGGGAATGGACTTCCTGTCACTCATCTGAAAACGAACCTTTATGAACCGAAGAAAGATAGACAGGGAAAACAGATGGAATAGATAGAGACGTGGTGTCCGGGGATGTGCGTGCCTCCTGAGCTGCAATACTCTCTCTCTCTTTCCCTCTCTGCTCCTTCTCTCTCCCCCTGTCTGTGTCACTAACATGCAGCCCAGGGAGAGGATGGAAAGCTGTTCAAGACCTGGCGCGCTGGTGTGTTTCGCTATCCATTAATCCTCGCCTTTCACCTCGTTTTAGTGACACTGAATCGATGAACTCGTAAGGGCAGGACGTCGGAATAGTATCAAATCAACACGCATCGATTCTTTTACCGGATAAAAAGGGCAACCAGAAGGGCGGGCGACGGAAATCGCAAGCCGAGTCCTGTGCGCGCATGCAGGCGGTCCGCGACGCACCAACTACATGTGTGCGCACCGGCGCTCGCCGCTCAACTTCAAATTCCCAAATTCATCTGGATATTGTTCTAGTAGAAAGTGTGGGCTGTGAAACGCGACGATTGCGAGTGAGACAATGTTTTGGTTTGGTTGCGTCTCCACACGTGGATTTGGTTGCGTCCTCTTAATGTGACGGGAGACGGCGTTACAGCGGCCACCAGGACCCACTCTGCACGCGTGGACGCCGATAAGAAGCTGTCGACGGGCCGACTCGTCCTTGGCGGCGCTGGATCAGAATCGGGGACGCTAAGGAATGCGGATTTTGACTTCTTCAGATCACCTGCGGAACTCTTCGCAGCTCACACCAAAGTAAATTAGTTTTTTTTTTCCTTGTAGAATATTCAGTGATATAAGGCCATTATTTACTGTTAGAACCTACTTGACTACTTTATGGTTTATTTTGCCAATATCATCATTACCTTGCTGAATACAAATGTTTTTGATGGAATTTTTTTAAAATAACATTTCTACTCTGATGCTGCTTTTTCTGTTTATTTATTTATTTTTTATCTGCCTTTAATCAAACACTAGATGCCCCCTGTAAACAACTGAGCTGTCAGTCAGTTGTATAATTTGTTTGCTTGTTTGTTTTCTTTTCCTGCAGCCGACCGTCGGTGAACCCACAGGGCGTCATGTTGAGACAGATCCTCCTGAACTCCACCGACTCCCCGGACTTCGACCTGGTGCTCATGGCCCAGTCCACGACGCACGCCCCCTCCTCTCTAAATGCCTCCAACAGCGGCTCCGTGAGCGTGGCCGCCCTTCTAAGACCCACCACGGGGAGGGGCGGCGGCGGAGGGGGCCTCCGGGAGGGCGAGCTGCACAAACCGGACCTGATCACCTACATCGTCATGTGCCTACTGCTTTTCCTGCTGGTCCTGCTGATTGTGTTCTTCATCAACTGCCAGCTGCGGAACTCCTTCTTCGCCTCCATGCCATATGACAGGTCACTGAGAGAGGCCCGGACCTCCTACAAATAACTCCCCACAGGGACAAAGCTCTGGCATTCGTGTTGTTTAGTGAACTCCTGGTGCACATTTGCTGGATCTCTTACCTGGAATGTCATCGGTGACAGTAGATGCTGCCCGCAAGCCTGAAACTGACATATAAAAACACTTCAGTGCTGTGACAGGTGGAAAGATAAAAGGGGGACCTCAGAAATGATTCATTAATCACCGGCCTGTACTTTCTGCTAATCTAAATAATGAAACGTGAAACAATCCTCTGCCATGATTCACCAGCAGCTCTCCACAAAACGGAAGCCAATTTTTTCCAGGATCCTCATTCCAGTTAGTTGTTCCAGCATTAACTCATCCAACTGCTTACAAATCTGACATGGCGCCTGCACTTTGCATCACAGAACTGAGCCCTGGGCCTGTTTTCCTTCATGAAAACATGGCTCGCAATGAGTCAACATAGGAACTACTGTACTAATCTGTACAAAAGTATTTTGTAATACTGTAACTTGACTGTCTTGTCTTGTAAGACAATTAGGATACAATCTGAAAAGTTTTTTTCAACTGTAAAATGATAATATGACAGATTATAGTGGCTATATGTCGTTGTATAAAGATATTGAAATGTCTTCTGTTGTTCTTTTGGTTGTGTACTTCTGACCGAATAATACAGGAGAAGATGTTGCAAAGTGCTGACACAACAGGCCAACTGTTTATCATTTATTACACCCACAGAGGCATTTACACACAGTGCCACAGGACTGCAAGCCTTATCACTTTTGTAATTAACTTCTCATAGACAATTTTTAGCTTCATAACCATTGTTGGCGACGAAGATTTGTGGCGGGGTCCTGTGCGATAAAGCAGACCAAAGTGTTGTCTTTTTCAGTGCCACCGGTGATGTGCAAATCCTCTCCAATCTTGTTATTGGGAAACATCACTCACATACCACGACAGATAAAATAAGCTTGTCTGTGTGATCCTGTCTCTCTTGCTGTGTGAGTGATAGAGAGAGGGAGATTATGCGCGCTTACAAGTTTGTGTATGTCTGAGTCAAAGTTATGCAATGAATCTTATCTTGTTATATCTATAAAGCAGACAGCAAAAATAATACCAAACACTCATTCTGTCAAAGTTTCATCTGTATGTTTTCAACTGATATGAAAGTCAACGCATAGAATTTTCGCCGAAGTAGAATTACAAGTCCTTTGAAAATGTATGTTTAAAAATGTACTTGCGGTTGTCTGTTTCTAAATTCGGAATTGAGATCCAATCCTCCAATTTAGCATGTAACACCAGCTTGAATCCACTCCCTTCTCACCTTGAAATAACTGCCGTTTATATTTTGACCACACGGTGGAGCCCCAGGTCCTATTATTTGTATGCACAGCATGGTTGCAGAACATTTTGCTGAAGGACTGTAACCACTGCAGGAAGGGCAGATTCACACATTGCTTCATTAAAAAAAAGAAAAGAGTTCAGGCATTGAAACATGTGTGCTTACAGAATGGAAAGGATGGAAACTAAAAGGTGGGCCATTTCACAGGGCGATACAATATGCCTTTGCTCATTTCAACACATACACACTTAAGAGCACCATGGCTGATTATTCCCTTTTTAAGACTTGCAGAATAAACTAAGTTGCCTTGGTATTATCAAGAACGTTGAGGATCTAGGAGAATTAAGAGTTGTGTTTCTTTTCGTTAATGCTAATCTTGGAGCATTTAGCCAGCATTTAGCTTCTTCCATCCTCCTGTGATCAGAGTTCTTCCACGTCCTTCCTGTTTCACCGACATGGCTTGTAGCAATCTTTAAACAAGCTAATGGCTTTCTTTCAACATGTGGTGCACAAATATTAGTTCTTCAGTTTATTCTCCCACTACATCTGTTGAGCTACCGGCCCTTCAGATTTACAACAGACCTCTTTTCTTCTTTGTTGATTGATGCTCTTCTTGCCATGCCTGCCACGTTAAGTGGATGCCTGGTTTCAGGATGCTTGTAGTTCTCCCATACCCTTCACATTTTCAGATTATGGAGTGCGATGGGGATGTTTAAAGCTTGGGATACAGTTGTAGAAACTATGCTTTAAATTTATCTTTTAAAGGTTGTTTACATATCAACTGTAACCATGGAAAAAGCACAGACGAAATAAATCTGTCTGTTGATGTGTGCTTGAATTAAATAGATTTTTCTTCTTTTTTTGTCTGGAAACATTTGTGAATAGAAAATCTGAACTGTTCTGTGACGTTTTTTGCTTTCATGATGTAAAAACCTCTTCACAGAACAAAAGTTATTTCAATTTAATTCAGTTTAAATTTCCTATTCACAAAAGTTTCCAGACAAAAAAAAAAAGAAGAAAAATCTATTTAATTCAATCACACATACATTCCAATTAATCCTAGTTATCAAACAGTATAGTATGCTCAACTAATTATTCAAAGTAGTTTACAAAGCTTCTATCTAAGGAAGCCCTGCAGACAATCCTGGGATTAAACTACAAATGAGTGGGCTCTATTTAGTAATTAGGTCAATTTTCAACTTTAATGCAATGGAAGTTATTTCTAGGCATCTTGAATAAAAGGGGATGAATAAAACTTAAACAATTTTATTGTTTAATTTTTTAAATTTGCATTCTTTTCCTTCCATTTCACAAATGTGAAATTGTTTAAACTGACATGTTTCCTAGAACCCTACTAATGCAACATTTTTGCTTCCAATGTGAAAGAATGAAAGAAAAACAACAAACAAACTTTTTAGCCAGGCGCTGCAACTCATTTAAAGTTTGAGCTGATTCTTTTTTTTTTTAATTATGCTCGATGCTACTTGACTTCTTTGATATTTTAAAATCTAGAATATGACACAAAGTAAAAGATAAGTCCTCTTGTTGTTCCCCTTGTTGTTGTTTGGTGATGCTGCTTAAGCTCGATAAGATGTGATGATCAGTGTTCTTTTGCCCTGTGCAGTGATCTGTCAGTTAAATCGGCTCAGGTGCAGCTCCAGGGCGCATGCTCCGCCCATTCACCAGGACTGTCAAAGAACAGGAAGAAGTAGTCTACCGTTGAAACTACTCGCTTCTCTGTTGTCACACAGGGGTTAAAAAGTTACCTAAACTTTGTTGAGCAGCCATGGAAACCAATATTGGACACACCATCGACTCTGGTCATCTTTAACGGAGACTCCGCGTTGATGTTACCGAAACAACGGGTGGAAGTGGACGAGTAGGCTTTTTGTTCCGCTTTAACTAACTAATTACAGGAGCCCACAGGCTAGCCCGGGCTAACGCTAACGTTAGCTTTTTTTTGTACCGCATATTTGCGGGTTTGGTGTTGTTTCTTAACTCTGTGGCTGGTGTAACCAATAGGAAGTAACAGCGTTGGGTGCTCGTTGGTATTCCACAGGCGCAACAAGTTGTTTTTTGTGCTTCTTGACTCGAGTATTTCGGCTTGTGCTTTGAATTTCCCTCCTTTGGCCATACACACGGGCGGCTAGGCGAGGGGGTCGCTTGGCTGTGTACCAAATTACTAGCAGACCTGTGCTAATTGTGGCTAACTAGCTGAGATATTACCACTGGACCTTCGGGAATACGCTTTCCCACCCAAGTTAGACAACATTGCAGGGGAGAACCCCCGCTGCGCGTGTCAATCTGTACGTCAAATTCTTGGAAACGGATTAATCTACCAATATGGATCAAAACACGGGAAGTTCAGCTTCATTTGCTGGATCCAAGAAAGATAAGGACAAGGATCGGAAATCAAAGAAGAAGGACAAGGACGAGGATGGAGATGGGAAAAAGAAATTTGTGAGTATCTCACTGAACTGAACTTAACGCATTTCTATCTTTCTTAGCCATCGGTAGAGTAGGGCACAGGTGTTGCACTCGACACACACTGCTGATCAGGGTTTCTTCTCAAGTTTCCTACCGACACCCTACCTGTAATTACGGTAACCTCTCCAGGCTATTACGAGCTTCAGATATTACCCTCCGTGTATACATAGATGAGGTCATAGTTCTGCCTACATATGAGGAAGTTATTGACTCTTCACTTAAAAAAAAAAAAAAAAAAAAAAGTTCAACTCTTTTCAGGCTTATACATTCCTGACTGATTGCAACATGCCAACACAGGACTTAAACATTTGTCTGAGCACCGCACACGCCCCTTTATGGTTGTATTATTTTCTACAGAGACAGTGTATTCCTGACTCTAAATAAAACAGTGCGTGCAGAGTAATGTTTTTAAATGAATTAATTTAACTTTCAGTTTATAGGTGTGGCTACAATTTTCTGCAGATTACTTAATATGGATTTTTCCCAGGCTGTGTCAGCTTGTATGACTCAGGGAGCCAACTGGATGGGAGCACTGAAGTATAAGAGTCAACACTGTGATAAAGTTTGTCATCGGCCTGCGCAAACTCTTGTGCAACTTTATCCTCTGGTCACCTCTAGCAGCAGGTGAAAGCTGATATTGATCACAAACCGTAACCATAGAGTATGCACAGACCAACTCAACTTTTCTGTCAGCACACATTGAAAAAAATAAATTGTCTTTTATCATCAGGGCTTCTGCAACAGCCTAAATACCAGGCAGTCGGTTCAGATAAAATTCTTGATTTCTTTATCATAATTAGTTTGCATGTTCAGAGTTGGTATGTTAGCTTAGTTTTTCACTATTTCTTAAGGTTGCATTGAATTGTCAGCTTTTGTATGTGTTGCACTTCTCATATTATGAGATAAATATATTTTGTAGTCAAGCAAAGTTTTAAATCAGTATGTAGACATTTAATGCATCTAAATAATAATATACAAATGTATTACTTATTGCATACCTTCATCATTTAGATGTAGTATAAGTAAATATTTAATATACAAAATGGTTATGTATTTATCTAGCTAAAATAACACCTGCATAAGAGGCTTCCTGTGGGTGTGGTTTATTTAAAAAGGAGAATTATCCCTACTGGTCATTTAGTAACTTTACAAAACATTTCAAAGAATAAACTTGTTAGTAGATTGAATAATATATCACTGAAACTAAAGAGGCTCAGTAAGCATATATAATTTAGTGATAACCTGCATCCATTTCTTGATATTGTTTAAAAAAATAAATGCAAGGTTAAGCTGTTATCTTGTGTCTGAATAGAATTCCAGTGTTATAAAATCATTTAAGGATTGTTCCAGGTTTTCTAATTAATTTGTCACATATACTTCACTAAAAAAAACAACTTATTTTTCCACAGACAATTCAACATGTTATTAAGTAATCTTTAGTACAAAGTAAAAAAAATTGAGATATAACTTTTTTTTAAAAATAATGTTTTGGGTTCATTGCATCTAAAAGGGTTGTGCAGCAGGCAGCATTCTGTACAGCTAAGGATTTGATCTGAAGTTGTGCTTGCATTTCATGGAAATTGTATTACATTTCCATTACCTTTTAGATCCTCAGACTTACCATAATAACCAGTCAGCACTTTTTTTTAAAACATTTTTTTTTACTGACAGAACGGGAGATACGCTGTGCTACCCGCATTTCTTTTCACTGTAAAAACCGGCTATACTCAGATTTTTAGATAAATAGTCCTTGATAGATAGTCCACACTTCACTGAACCAATTTTTCAATAAGTGTGTGAAAGTATGGCACTTTATCCTGACCTTTGATAATGTAGGTCACACTAATGAGTTGATTCTTTCAAGTCAGCATTTCTTGATCAGTAAATAAATTCTCTTCCCATGCCTTCCCAAGAAAGACAGCAAATCTGTTACGTAGCTTGACTATGCATGTTTATAAGTTGGCTGTTAAACCCTGTTAAGTTGTTTTTTATTGCACCTTGTAGATGTAAAAACTTGAGATGAACTTGTTTTACAGTGTGATATCAACACTCAGCTGTTTTTCCTGTTCTACTGACTGCTCTGATTTGATCATTCTTCACCTCATTCAGTTGAAACCAGTAACTGGAAGAGACATTTACTCCGGTGTGTTTTGTCTATACAGCTTGTTACATGGAGACCTAATGAAAATGATTTCTGATAACTAATATGTTTTGTCATTGAATCAGTCTATCACTCACTAGTCAGTTTTAGCCAAAAATGTCACAAATAATCAGTTACATTATTTTATGACAGCTTGGTCTTTTTTTCTGGTCATTAGCTCAGGTATGGCAGAGCTCATCAACTCATATCTGACCTTAAAGATAATAACTGAAGCTGACGCAGAAAATAAACAAATTCTTCTCTGGAAAATGTAACTTTAAGATGTGTTTGACGTGCGATATGCAGCTTCCTCCATATCTACAGGTGTGTCAGGTATTTGGTTCGAAAACAAAAGCAAAGCTCCCTAAAGTCCCATCTATATCAGTTCGAGAGCGACAGAAGGTCAGCATACATAAATGTTGTTGATGTAAACATGCCTTCTGGCTCAGGCCAGAAGGCAGACAAAGTGGGGATTAGCCAGGGATCACTGCCGTGGACAGTTGTTTGTTGCTTGGACATACAAGGTGAATTCTAGACCACAGATTTTGGCCTGGAGTCTTTGTTTTTCAATATCCAGCATAGTTTTCCCTGGAGTTTTAGTGTCTTGTGCCACTTAATGAGGTGTAAATGTATCTCTCTTGTTGTTTTACACAAATGTTAAACAACAAAAAAGCAGAAGTGTTTACATTTGACAATATGGTTTTTCTTAGGAGTTGTTAACGTGCAGAATGTATTTAAAGTAGTCAGCATTCTTCAAAGTGTTTGAGGTGGGAGAAAGCACAGTGACAGTGAACTATAGACAACCTGATTATTTCTGAACATTCCTAGGCTGAATCTCTATGTGTTTGCAGATGAAAGAGTTGTTTAACAACTGCATAGAGTTACTTTTCTTTTTCCTGTCATTATTAATGCTGCTGCTCCGGTCTCTGTCCATTTTTGTTGCAGATTTGTAATAGTTGTGGGCTTGACACACAGGAAGCAACATTGTTCACTCTCAATTCAATTTCTATGGAACTTGTGTGATGAGGTGACAATTGCTTTCCCTCCTCCAGCCAAGCGACCAGTGAAATTTGTGCTTGTGAAATTTTGAGCTCATTCACGTGCTCACACAGGCAAGCAATGCAACAAAAGAGAATAGCAAAATTTTCAACCTTTATCACTGCTGTTGCTTTCCGTTTGTTGGGAAAAGTTTCAAAATGTTAAACTTCTGTTCGACTTAATCACTTTTGTTAAATTTTTGCTTCTGTCACGTCCTGTTTGTTGGGTTCACCCAGAATAGTGGAAAATTGTCACTTTTGCTCTATCAAGTTCAATAGGGTTGAACTCAAAATTCTTTGTACGTCAGCAGATTTATAGTAATTTTTAAAATTTTAACAAGATGCCTCTCTTGATGGGAACTAAGATCCCATTTAAGGGTGGCAAAGTTGGTCTTTATTTTTATTTATTCCATTTCTAAGGTTTTATTGGCTTTAGTGGCCTTTATTTGACAGTTGTTAGACAGGAAAGTGGGTTACAAGAGAGAAGGAAAGTCATTAGGCCAGGACAAAGACCTGTGAAGGCCAAGTTGAGGAGTAAGGCCTCTATACCTGGGTTGCGATTTACCCTGATGCCACTGCCGCACCCATATGTCTGCCGATAAAGGTGATGGAGACTTTCCAACCTCAGAGATTTGGAATGCATCATCAAAAGTATCAAATAGCAGAGAAAACCTACAAAAAGCTGTACTGCAATTATAAGGTGGTTTTGGTTCAACAAATGAGTCAACAAACATTGACCCATTTCTTTAAATAAATTACACTTAGAAATTGTATGTTTTATTTGTACAGATGACTCCAATTTTTAATTTCCTAATAAACTATTTCTTTCTCAAAATACTGTCAAAAAACATTTGTTTAATGAACACCTGTCATATTGTGTTAGATGTATTCACGCCTAAAAATGTAACCGGTTTTACTTGTTTTCTGCAAGAAAACATGATGTGCTTTAAATAACTTGTTCTAACAACTTGTCACTCAACATGGTTGTGATGTTTTGATGTCTGGCTTGTGTGGGCGCTCTCATACTGTCAGCTCATTGGTCATTGAGTGTTTATTTTTGTTTTGGGTTTTTTTTGTGTGTGTGTGTGTGTTTTTCTGTCAATAATTTTGGTCAGTTGTTACCATTCAGCACCTTTGTTATGTCAGGTTGGATTTGCAGTATACCTGAACTGTGAGTTACTACTGGTTTTAAAATGTTCATCAGTTTAAAGTACTTTTTACAAATTTAGCCATACTTTTTATCCTGCACTTTGTAAAAGTAACTCCATATGTTCAGTTATGTAGATAATACAGCAAAGAAACACTGGTCTAACACTGGTGTAATATCTGTGAGAAGGACATGCAGTTAATAGCAGCAATATCTGTAGATGCTAATTTTAAGAGTAACAGAAGTAGTTGCATAACAATTTAGAAAAAGTTCTGAATTATTAAAATGTGCTAAGTAGTTTCCAAGTAATTGTGAAGTCGAGATATTCATCTGATGCTAATGAGCAAAAGGAACTGTCCAATGAACGTTTAAGACAGATCAGGGAGCTGACTTTCTCCACAGCAGATAGTAGAACATGGTAGAACATGAAGGGATCAGTTATGTTGCAGGGGTGGAGAAACCACTGTATGGTAAAGCACTTGTCAGATTCTGTAGATTTAACAGACATGTTTCCCCACCGACTTATAAGCAACAAGTAGCCTAATTAAGAGAAAACCATGAAGGTATAACTGCGAGAATGTTTTAATGTTCTAAAGCAGTGTTTCTCAGTTGCAGTCCTCATGGACCACTGCCCTGCATATTTTAAATG